GGGGGGGGGGGAGGTGGAACAGAAGAGAGCTTCAAAGATGTAAAAGAGACAGAGGAACACAAAGGTAGAAAAAAGTGAGGTGAGTACTATGGAAGTAGTCGAATATGGCATCGAGTGAGGTGATGGTAGTTTGAAGTCAGAAGTCAGATGCCGGTTTATGGACTTTTTTGCCATATAAGTATGCGTTGCCCAGGATGCACCACGTGGAGGTAAGTCTATCGCACACCTCAACTTTATAAATATAGAACTACTTGAAGGCTTTCCCTGGCTCTCTTCGATGCATATCTGCTTGCTTAACTGGTCACCTCAAGGGGGGGGGGTTTCGTTTCTGAACTGAAGTCTTTTATCCTAGAGCATTTTCCTCTGTTCTTGGCTTTCATTAATCGATATAGTTGGCGCTGCTATTCATTGGATGTTACGTCATTGAGATTGCCAAATCGAAATATTTGATTAGGGAGACGCGAGAGTTGACCATGGGGTTCAATATTTTTCTTCATAGTATGAAGATAATACCAACTCAGTTGTTGTTACCTTTTTAATAAATGTAAAGTAACAAAAGATGGTGATTTTTTCCCCCGAGAAAAAGTGTTTTTTTCTAATTTTTAATTGAGCTTAAATCTTGCAAACTGACAATATTATAAGCTATTCCTTTTGTTGTCAATAGCTCCTCATGCAGTCATCAATGCCAGAATCGATTCTCCTTTACCTCAATGTCTTTCCTGTTACTGCGGCAACAACGGCTGAAGATTCTGAAAGGGACACATCGGCGCTCTTCTCAATTCCCAGATCCCTACCCTCCAGTGGACTCAAAGATGCTCTCTTCGCTTGGTTTGCACTTCGAACGCATGATGGAAGTCATGTTAAGAGGCTTCAACATGCCGATCATCTGGTAAGAAAAAAATAAATTATGTTTGCATTTTACAATTTCCCAGTTACCAAAGATTGATAGTTACTATTTTTTTACGTGTTAGAACACCCTATTTACATATAGTTTTATTGCTTTTTTCTACCATTTAAGTGTTTTTTTTTCGAATGAATACATGATTACCTACTATTTTTCAATTCTGTTTATTTATGCTCACAATATTTTAATTTAATTTTCGAATTGAGTACCTGTGTGAGGATGGAGGGGGAGGGAATTATTGCAAATAGGGGAAAACGAGATGGATCTTTGGTGTGTTTTTACGACTTTTCTAGTTTTGTAATAAAAGGAGAAGATATGGAGCTTCAACAATGCTTACCTTTCTCAAGAAAGACATCCACACCGATGGATTGGTATATGCAGTAACTGATTAGGTTGTGTGCTCCCATCAGGATAATGCATCAAACCTATGCGATTTAGCTCTCAAGTGTATGTGTGTGTAGTAGTTAAATATTTTATGTAATCGAATTACTTGTTGGGGTTGATGCCCAACTGCAAAGTTGGCCGGTTAAATAATTTTTCAGTTAATCTCGCTTGCTCATTCCATTTTTTTTCAAATATTCGACAATAGCGTCGGGCTTAGGAAATTAGGAATTTAGTAAACCTAGAAATGAATCTAAAGGGAATGCAACGTGACTCAGGACTGTCTTACAATCGAGATCATTTGGATGATTAGTCTGCATGTTCTAGTCATTCAGATCACCTTCATAAGGGTGAATTCCATGGACATTCTAAATAAGGGGTCCTCATAACCCATTATTATTCAGGATCAATATCAACGTGTATCTAATTGTAGGCCACGAGTTGTGCACTTATTATTTCACATCCAGTGAATAGAATGCCTAAAATTTTGGCTAAATAACGATCTGTCTGGGAATAGTAGGACGGTAGTCTTTCGCCATTTAGTTTCAAATTAACGACCCAAAGACCAAGATAAGCCCATGGAATGTGTGTCTCACTTCAGTGCAACAATGCTCGGTAGTTACCCTTCGCTTCTGTGTATCTGCACGAAGTTTGTAAACCTATTGCTATCAAATACGAATGTGTGCATTTATTCTCATTTTAGACAATGTACACACTTCAAAAGATGAAGTCTCTTCAATCTGTTGAAATCCTGGTAAGCAGAATCTTTATTTTTACTTTGAAATGTATCTTTTGTATATGACAATTTGCGTCTTTAGTCAAATCACGAAGCGCCGCTGAAGACAACAAACGGTGAAGTTGTTGAAGGCGATGAACACTTCATCAAGCTACTTGTAAGTTTTTTGTTCAAAATCCACATTTCCATCATTTTATTTGCTTCTCTATTCCAACTTCTTTTTTCCTTTCACTTGATCAGTATGAAAACTCGTTTCACTGTCCAATTGTCCTTTTCCGCTATATTCTCCCCGCTGCTCAAGGTATGGGTTTTACTACTTAAATATAATTTTTTCTGTTAGTAGTATATTACCAATTTATCTTTGAATTATGTTCAGCACAATAACCAGATTGTTAAACGTCTTATCGCAATATAGAGCTACTTCTAAATGCCAATGGCGACCATTCGCTTAATTCCTTAAAATTTACGTATGCGTATTATGCCTACATATTTTTTTCCTACTTGCCTTTCTATTATTTGGTACTAAGACACCGGTCTACCACCCCATTTCCTTCTTTCAATTTGGAGAAATTTGGCGTTGAGCACGAGCCAACGACGCGGTGGTCTGTGTGAACAGCCACCAAAACGAAGTTCACAAGGTTTACACTAGTTGCGTGTCCATTTAGTGAAGTGGTTGGCCATTGACACTCCATTGTTTCTGGCAACTAGTTGAGTGTTAAAATACAAATTTCTCATAATAGTGTCGTCAAGTTGCCTTCCATCTGTTAAATTCGGGTGTCGTCAACTCTCCGCTTATTTGGCTTAGAAAGTTTTATTGAACATTTATTTATTTCAAATGGCAGGCATTATGATAGGTATCATTAGCCCTTTAGTTGACTTCGTGCTTCACAGAAAGGAAGAGGAACACCAAAGTGGCAAAAAGTCGAGAGGGAGGGGGAACAGAATAATAATTCACAGACGTAAAAGAGATAGACAGACACAAAGGTAGAAAAAAGGTGAGTACTGTGGAATTAGTCGAATATGAAATGCGGTGGGGACTTGGTAGTTTGAAGTCAGAAGTCAACTGCCGGTTTATAGACATTTTTGCAGTGTGAGTATACGTTGCCCAGGGTGCACCACGTGGAGGTAAGTCTGTCGCACACCCCTTTTCTTGAACATTACATTGTCTGACCGTTTTCTATAAATTCCACGGTTCTAACACTTATACTGGTTATGTCCTGGAATAATTCGAAAATTTTTTTATCTTATTATGGCAAAATGTTAGCTATTTCACCTTTTAAAGATAAGCCAAATCAGGTCACTATTGAACTGCTTTATTTTTTCTTTGTAGAGGTTAAACCACCTGCACGGAAGTCTCTTTCTGGTATGAACCCCAGCGCTTCCACCGATGCCAAAGTTAAAAAGCGTTTTATGTCGGAGTCTTCTGCTGTCTCCTCCACAAAAACGCCTTGTCGACACGTTGTCGACCTCAGATACTTAAACAGCCTCAACCACTGGGTAATTAGAATTGCTTACTTATCGTACGTACTACGTAGTGAAGTTTTATCTCGTAGATCCTGGTCTCAGTGGTTTTATCTTTGTCTTGGAAAATAGCTAATGCCTTTAGCATTCGATATCTTAATATGGGAAACTATATCTGTGTGATACTAGCCTTTTTGGCACAAGATGTGATCAGTCCAGCATCATGAAGCCTGTAAAATCAACCACTTTTTTAAAACAACCTGGGTTTGACCTTAAAGCTACGGCAGTTCCATTGGTTTAAAATAATTGGTCAAAATGCATTTCTTTGCCTCTTATCTAGCTAATGCCTGCTAATTATCGGAAAGCAATTTTTCCTAGACTGAATTACTTTCAAATTGTTGTAAAATATCTCCCTTTATTTAGTTGGCCAGTGCTTTACAATTTGAACACCCTGGGTTCTCTATCAAAACACACTTCCTACCGGGTGGAATGATAGTTCTCAGATTCTCCCTACTGGATTCCTTGAATAGTAAGTCTACTATTTTATTTTACCTTTTTCATATCCTATTTAAAACTTCCAGTAGACAGTGATTTTCTATTGCTTATACACCACATGGACAATTTAATTATGCCTGTTTAGCTTCTTTCACGATTAGAGAGCAAGATCTCCAATGTGTGTTATTTTAGGTAGATAATAGTTGGTGACTCAGCTTACTGTGGTTCATAAGGTCATATGAGGTGAGTTTGGAAATAAACTAATAAATTTTAATGAACAAGTCGAGCCTATTGCTCTAGTATGTATTTTGGATATCAATCCTTCGACTTCAAAATTTGTAATGAGTCTGTTGAAATACATCCTTGATTCGATGCAAGGATATTCTTTCAACCTCAAGGCTACGTACTCTATAGTTGTGTATCGAGTTAATTTCTAAATTGAATCTTCCCTCTGTCGAAGAAAATGCTTTTAACGTTTAATACTCCTTGAGGACAAAGTTGCTTTAAGGACAAGAAGTGACCTATCAATTTAATGGTAAAATATGACGGCCAACTGAAGTCGGTTTTTATTGAGTCCATTGGAATGCAGTAAAGTCTCCGATCTGGGAGTTATGGTATGGATTTGTCTATTTCTCCTCATCTTAAGAGGGGGGGGGGGAACTCTAGTTTACCCTCAAGCGTTTTCTGAGGAGCCGCAAAAATGAAAGTTGAAGACCTCGATCCAAGAATCTGAGACTTCTGTAAAGTGACATTTTCAGTAAATGTCTATCCATTTTAAGGATATCCTCATCGTATATATTGTTAGTACTGGTTTAGCTTTCATTAAATCAATAAACCCAATTGTGCTCCATCATAGTATGACCTTTGACAACACTTCAATTTTACCTAAATCAAGTTTGCTTACTTTTATATTTACATGCTGCAAATGGCTATCATTTACTTAAGGGGGTCGTAACAAGTATAATTTGGTTCATAGTCCAATCAAATTTGAAAATATGCGTTTGGCGACTAGTGATAGAATAAAGATGTTAATGTTAATTTTTTGGGTGAACTAATCAGTGAAAAGTCTCTGAATTTCCTCCAACTTGTTTCTTTACTAGTTGTGCTAAACTCTGACTATGTTTGCGAGAATGCTGACCTCTTTTTCTTTGAAAAAAAACATGCAAAACATAGATCTACCTGGCTCTTCCAAGTCAACTGAACATGGTTTGGATTTCAACTACATGAGAAGTACTTTTACTGTTAGTGGCGGTGGACAGCCGAAACTTAAAAGACTATCAGGCAAATTGTTATCACTCATTCACCTTATTCTCACTTTCATATCTCTTGTAATATGCTCTTACTATACTATAGGCATACTACTAATACATCATGCTTACAATTCTGTTATACCGGCTCATCAGCCCTCTATTGGTCTATTTTCTATTCATTCAATTGTATGTGTGGTTTCCTCCCTATTTGTAGCTGATTCATAGCCCTACTGGAGGGCTTTTAACTTAGCTTATGCGAATATACTTCCGAATGTAGCACTTGTTTCGAGTTAGCTAATTTACAATCTTTCAAATTGCTATTCCTTAATGCGATTCCGGAATGCGTTTTAATAAATTCCACCTATCCTAACGAACAAGGTTTCCTGGGCATACTCTAGGAAGTTATATTAGGCTCCAAGAGCCTAGTTATTGCGGATTAATTAAACTCTTACTATGCTTTCTGCTTTCTTTCAGTTGCTGAAATCACCGATCAGGATATTGATAAATTGATTGAAAATATAAATTTCAATTGCGTAAGTTGGTGTTATGTTCGTTGTGAATATTTTTTCTATGCATTATTTACAAACAGTTAGGGCTTATTTCATAGTGGCCTGCCAGCTGACAACGAAAGTTATAACTAATTGCATTTATCCGACTTGTTACTTGAGCATTTCGAGTTATTGACGATTGTGCTGCAAATGTGATACTGTTTTCTTTCAAGGATTGCCATAGTGATGGCATATTTCTGAGTAGCAATATGAACTTAGGTGTGGTCACTTGGAGTAGTTTGGATATTGAAATTGTCAAAGTCGAAATCTACTATTTGTAGGAATCTAATCTCAAAATCTATTAAGGCAAACTTATTTTTATTACAAGCATGCAGTCTTTCCACCAGTGGTATTTGGTGAAGTAGGTAGGAGCCCTAGATCTTTAATCTTGTTACACCGCTTAATATCCACCCATATCGCACCCGTCTGACAGTTTAAAGGTAATTGTGGTTAGTAGTTAATTAGATTTCCTAGTTGCAGTTTATTACAATGGATATGAAATTAATAAATTTATCGACAAAAATTCGAACTTAGTACTAAATCACCCCTCTCTCCCTCCCCCTTCGGTAGACTATAATGGAAGCGACTTGGCGTGAAAAACCGGACTTCTTCAAATTGGTCAACTCCACCCCGGGCATGTATTATTACAATCTTCCCGATTGGGCTGGTCTCGGTGCCGCTTTGTAAGCTATCCTGAATTGAAGGCCTTGCTGTTGAAGACATCTTAAGTCTCTCTTATTTGTTGCAGTTACGTTCCACACGCTTACCGTTGTCTTCTGCCTGATGCCGATGGCCTATCACCGGAAGAATATCAAACTCATCTCATCAGCGCTCTCTTAAGACTTCCCCTAAAGGCAGCTCTCCACATCTGTGATCTTAATCGTGAACTTATCTCTTGTCTCCGTAATCATGACTACGCATTCAGTTCGGCGCAAGTGAGATTCGATGGATTGACTGGAATCAATGACGCAATAGAAAGTCTAGCTTCGAGATCTACTACCGGTGATTCAGTAGGAATTGAGGGGAAAAGTGATGCGGAAAGTGAGAATAAAATGGCTCCCATTTGTCAAGCACAACTCTACTGTTTGCGATTTGGACTGATAACGCCTGGGACAGATACTAGTGAAATGCTTCAGCTAGTCCTGAGAATGGCAAATGCGGTTGAGGAGGATAGCAATGTGAGCACATATTATGATTATCGGAGTTGGCTGTTAGTAGTATCAACTTCCTCAATTGTCTAACTTCGATGTAGGTTAGCTGATTGCTACAATTCCCTCTGTAGGGTTTTGCCCATAGCGAAGCAAAAAAAGTATTGCAAGTTCTGCTAGAGGGGAAGTCCTTCATTACTGATTATTGGAAGCATTGGATCGCAATTCCTACCTCGTTTCAATAATAGAGCTCAGAGGAGGAAGGGGGGAGCAGAAGAAGTGTTCCATTGTTGTCCCCTTAGGTTATGTACTAGATTTTATTCTCCGGTTGTTCATGAACTTACTTGTCTCTCTTTTTTTCCGGAATCAGATACACAAGACCCATCTAGGATACCTTTAAAGTATAACAGTTTACTTGAGGTGGATTCCAAGGTTCTATCCTGAACCGATTCTTCAAAATACTTCTCATTTTATACATAACGTTGTGGTTACATTCAGTTGCTATTTCAACTTTTATCCCTCCCCCCCCCCCCCCCCAGGGGGGGGGGGTGTTGGCACATGGTATTAGAAGGATCTCTGATAGAAGCTGCTTAGAGCTTTGTCATAGGAACTCTGATATCAATTTTTTATGAGAGCTCTCAGTGACCTTCATCACTTCATGCGAAAATCTTCTTGATGAACTTCACATTTTATCGCTAACTTTGAGAAATTTTAAAGATCTGAGTAATTTTATACTTATCTATTTGCAGTCATTATATAAAATGGTTCTCTTTGCCAAATTTTATTCTTTATCTTCTTGTAGTACGTCAATAACCTCTCCGAAGTGGTGAGACGTGGTATTGAGGAAGCAACGATGTACATGAATGAGGAACGCACCAAAATCATTCGGGAACAGGTTTGTCGAATTATCATCTAATAAGCTTCTCCTAGTTGTTAATCCATTGGCAATATTATGTTACCTATCAAGTTTCTTTGATATTAGGGTATATTACGCCAGTTGCCGTATCTGGACAGATTAGTCAATTGGTGGTCACCTCCCATTGACACACAGATTCATGGACGAGCTCTGAATCTTTCCATTGGTGAGTTCAAACCTTATCTTCTTGGTGTGCGCGTTAAGTGACCACGAATTGTCGATCATATAAAATTGATTGTGACTGGTAAATCTGTTAGCTTGATCAACGTCTATTTCCTCAGTGCCAGGGTATTTATGAGCTCATATGATAAATAAGAATTAATGCGGACATTGCCCACTGTGATTTTACTCTTCTATAATGCACGTTCTTATTGACGTCTTAGTCAAGGTTATGCCGTTCCCGTTGAATAAGCCGAGTCACTTCTTGAGATGCATCAAGTTAATCATCCAATCAAGTTAATATCTCCTAAATATTTACATTTAGGCTGTCTTCGTTATCGATATTCCAATGAAAACAAGTTCTATCGGTATTGAGTTGATATATTTATCTTTTCTTCAGACAATTGAAGATACCTTTATTAAGAGATTCTACTGATGTGTTGAAGTTGTTTTCAGAGGTTTTGAAAAGGGATTATGCAGTGAACTATGGGTTGGAGATGGAATTTACAACTTGGTGAGATTGAAAATAGAAGACTGTATAACTTTACCTCGTGCATTAATCAGACATATTCATAATTTCAAATTGAGTAGGAACTTTAATCACTCAGTGGTATATATCACGCAATCTCTACGAAATTAAGCTGTTATAAACGACAAGTCACATGAGCTGAAAATCAATGTTAGGCAGAGAATAACGCTAGAGTATATTTCAGTAATTATTCCATTCCAAATAGCTTTGCAATTCTCCCTATGCACAGAAATTATTCATTTTGTTTATCAATATTTTCAGGGCAACTTGTAACCACAGATACAATTTTTCCCAAATCCAGTCCTTCACCATCACAACGAGAAAGCTTATCCAATGGAAATGCAACCTTGGCTTTAGACGAGGAAAAATCATTAACCACTTCACCAGAACCTCATCAGTCACTATCGTCTTCCTCTTCCATTTGGTCTTGGTTTCTTCCATCCACCAGTGAAACTTCTATCGTAACTGCAGAACCTGATCGGTGATCCCCGTACGCCCACTTAAGATGAGTGGATGCATATAGTTTATCGATCTCTCACTGCTCTTGTTTGTTCTTCTTTCACCATTTGATCATTTGACTTTGCGTTCGAACTCTTCGTTATAGGGTGCACATTACCACTTGTATTTTTAACTTTTGTGCACGTGTAATGAATACATATCAAATATAATTCGCTACGGAACCAAATTCTTCACCCAGTGCGGGTTTTTTTATGAAAATGTGCAGAAGGGAGATTTTTTATGCAGAGTATGATTGGTGAATGATCTTTACTGTAAGCGAACTAATATGGAGAAGAGAATTTGGAATGGACCTGAGTTTCAAGCGAGAAATTGGATAAGTACGAGATCAACCAGATTATGCCAGCGTGTGGGTGACGTGAATTCGCAGCCCAAATAAGTGGTCGTGCTGAAAACATTACAGGTGGTTCGAGCTCATTGCGGGTCTAGATTTATTTTAAAACCGGGTGTTAGCGTCGGGGAAAACATTATCATGTTTAACGTTTTACACCTTCTTTATCTATTTAGATTAACAAAAGTGCAAATTCGCTATCGAAGGTTCTTCTGATCGTTTCGCACTTGAAGCTCGTCAATGGTTTCCAGCTTTAAAGAGAACATATTATTTTTTGCCTACAATGCCCTTGGCGTTTTTCTTTTGTTATGAGAACCTGACCATAACCAAAGATTACCTTGCTGTGATGATTGGTTAATCTTAGACAAAATTTGTGTCAGGTTTGACAGAAATGTAAATCATTATTTTCGAACGAAAAATATGACTGTTAAAACTTTGAATTCTTATATTTAATTATCAAAATGAACCCAAGTATGAAGTAAATAAATTAGAAATATAGTTTTCAGGAGATTGTTTGCTGGCGTTTAGAAAGTTAAGGTAATTATAAAGTAGAACTTACAGTTGTAAGGTTTAAATAAATTTTACCCAAGCGTGTACCCAATTGACCTTTTAATTTATTTGGGTTTTTGGTGCACATTATTACTATTTAGAAGAGGGATGTTATTACGCATTCAAATGCCGATGACAGGTAACTAGTTATTTATTTGCCATAGATTGTGTTTAACCTAAAATAGTGTAATGTCAAAGGTACTATCTCAATTCTGTTCGGTTTCTCCAATTCCTTGAATATGAGCATAAAATGATGTAAAATTCATATGACATTTGTCATCTAGTGATAAAATTTTGCTTCAACCGAAATGATTAACGAAAATTAATTAATAAATAGCGTTGTTTTCGGGATCCGATTTTACTTTTTATTTACTTGTGACCAAATTTCTATAAATAAAAGTCTTGACTAATGTTTAAAAATGATAAAAGTATTTGCCAAATGGGTTTTAAACATGCTAAATAAATTTATGCATTAAGTGTCCATAAATTTATTATGCCAATCCTTTGATAGAATTGGTCACAATAAAATGTTTTTGGATCTTGTCCTACTGAGAAGGTCATAAAATTGGGCTAAATTAGAGCAACTTCTGCACATTCACTCTTAGGGGCTTGCTATACATACTCTAGTCGCTGTTAGCATTAACTTAGCTCACACTATTTCACGTTTCTTAACTTTCAGTGCAAGCAGTGAGATGAATGAAACATCATTTATTAAGAGTGAGGTTGATTCTGGAATGAGAGTTGAACTTTGTGTAAGGCCCTATAATTTATCCAAATAGATTTAGGAACTTTATTCAAATAATCCTTCAATTCAAGCTGCCGCCCTATGTAAGATATCAAAATCCATGAGCCCTGGCGCTCCTTTGGGCTCATCAACCGCTGCAGATTTGATGCTCTCATTTTGTTGTCAAGGGGATTGCCGTGTAAGGGCTACAGCAATTTCTTGTCTTTCAGACTGGGCTAAATACTATTCAAAGAAATCAGCTGCCATTACAGATATCGAAAAATTTAACTGGATCTCGAAACACTGGTTGCAAGTTTATACTCTTGCCTGTAAAATTCTCACAGAGGATAACGCAAGAGTTCGCCTAGTCAGCCTAAAATCTATTCACTCATTAAGTCTGCGCTTTGGCCAGAAAGAATTTTCTCTGGATACCGTCAACCCGCTTGAGTGTGCATCTCTTGATTCGCAGTTCTTCTCAAATCGTGCTCACCCTTCTTGTAGAAAACCTGTGAAACTGATTGATGACGCATTCAGTAGAATTTGCGATCGTTTTCAGGATGGCAGCCGCTTTGTTAGGGTATCTGCTGCTGAATTGATTGCTGATTTAGCGGAGGTAGTTACCATTATCTTAAACCCTACTCTTTCTCATGTCTCAGTTAGGAATTTCCTTAAAAAGCTTTCAAGTTAATAAATGAGCTTGTAGTTCACAGACGAACATTTACCTTGCCTCTTATTTTTGAGAATCTATGCTAATTTTGATTCACTTATTCAGCCTTTCCTTTCCAATTTACTTCCCAAATGTTTCACTGTTTATATTGCTATCTATGTCCACTGTCTTGTGTTTTTATATATTATTTTATTTCAGCCACCTCAGGTATATTAATTTGTATGTTTTGAATTCAATATTCTTATTGTGTTGTTTGGGTACCATTGTATTTCTCAATTGTTCTGTTTGAAATATCAATTAACCTATCACTATTGGGCATTTAATTACGCATATTGGTAGACTCTACTATGACATACTTTTAATTAACTGACTTTGAATTTTTTTGCTAATACATTTCATTTATTTAGCTAAATGAACTCCTTCATTTCCTTTACCTATTAGTTAGTTTCCGATGACACTCTAGTGCTTACTCTTGAGAAGACAGTGATGTCTGACCGGAAGGTTAAGCGCTATTGCGAACGAGTGGCTGCCAAGGGAGGGATGGACAAAATTTCCCAACTGAGTACTCTCTCAAACTCCTCAAAAAGTCGTCGTCCAGGGGCCCAAAAGGGATCGAGTGATATTGATTCCATCCCGCTTCTTGCAACTGGTATTCCTGGGGCGTTCATATGTGGACTGGAAGATGAGTTTCAAGGTACGTTTATTATTAAAAATTCATTCGTTTCTCTTATTAATCACTAGTTTACTACTACGATACTATATTTTACATCTTTGATTCAATTTTTTTAAACAGCCATATATTTGCTCTGCTTATATTGATGTGTGACAGAACACGCTTCTTAACTCAATTACCCAAAAATTGCATCTATTATGTTTGTTTGTAGAAGTTCGTTGTGCTATGCTCAAGACAATAACTAGAGTTGCGGCGCGGAATACCCTATTCGCTTCACTGTGTCAAGATATCCTTGTTGACATGTTGACAGATGATATTCAGGCTGTTCGACTTCTCGCCATTGAAGCACTCCAGGTTGTTGGAGATCAGGTTAGTATTTCGATTATTATCGGTTAATATGAGACGTGATAGAATGCGAATTAGCTTTCAATAGGATTCCATAGTGGTAATGCCTCAAATATGTGCCGTATTTATTCTACCTGATTTATTATCATTACGGACGCTGATAGTGAAACAGGGAAGATGTCTAAAGGGAGCTTAGGAAGTGAAATCTACATAGGCTTTTTTATCGATTAAAGGTGGACCAAAGCACTGTAGGTTACAGGATCGTTCGAAAGCGATTTCTGCCTCCACCATATTCAGTATTTGAACACTCATATCGTTCCTGTTGGTCTTCATACTGGCTAGTGCTTTCGTATTTGCTATAGATACTGCTAATTAGTAAGCTCGCATGGAAGCAAAAGGTAGATTAAAGAGTAAGTACAATTTGGATATTCAATGACGGTGGTATCACGTGCCATAATGTGGCGGTAAGCACTGATATTCGGGTTGCAATGCGTGTCTTAAGAACTTGTTGAGTTTTACTCTTCCTTTCATTTTATCCTAGGTACCAATTCTCACCGACCAAATGTCGATTGTGACTTCAGCGTTGGCAGAAGACTGTGCAGTTGTTCGGAGACGTTTGCACGACTTGCTTTCGCGTTGTAGGCTCGGTTCACCACCCTGTCTACTTTCTCTTCTCGATGGTCTTATAATGAATATGCGAATGTATAGGGAGGATAGGGATTCTATCTGGAAGTGAGTGATAATTCGTGATTAATTTTTTGGTGTATTCAACATTGGTGTATGTTCAGAAGCTCCGTTTGGGCATAACTTTTTGTGGGGTGGAATATTTTACACTTAAGTGAGTTTTAAGTGTTTCCCGCATCGTATCTGAAAGTAAAACCAGATTACGCGCTGATTCTCCATGCCATGGACTCCGCAAATGAACTTGAGATCAGGAGACACTGTTTTATCAATCACCACAAATCCGAAGATGGTCTACTAGTTGGTAGACTCCTTTGTCTCTGAGATCACAAGGTTTTCTCTTCGATGAATAGAATGGTAAAGGATAGAAACATTCTGAATTAACTTCATTCTGCGATGTCAGTTTGCCTGATTGTTATGGAGGTCAGATAAAGCAAGATTCTTCTAATTCCTTGACACTCGAAAAATGCTTCTTAAAATATGAAAGTTCTTCCTGTATGTTGGAATGCTTCCTCAATAATGAAACTTTGTAAAGTTTATTGCCTCGCACGGCAAATACGTAGAATTCGGGAACTGTATCGAAATAGGTGTAATGATGCATGTCCATTTATATAAGCTCAGCTTCTTACTGAGATACACTAACGTTACGATAACTCAGAAGTAACAGTTTCATGACACGTGGCTTAGAAGAATGCTTCGCTTATTCTTTCGTTAAAATGTTTGATTGTTTAGCTAAGTGAAAGTACGAGCAAGCGATGATTAAAAAACCTGAGTATTCTAGAAACGAATTGTTGTCACTGCTGTTACTTGTCGAAATTATTAATCACCTCAAATTTCTTAACGGAGGTGGATTGCCCGAGTTTAATTTGTCAAACATTTGTCATTTGTTGCCTTTTGTGCGTGATTTTAGAAATTCAAAGCTTGTTACTTTGGTATAGTTTTACGGATATTTTTTGTGTATTTATACTCAAGTCAGTAGTGAAGATCACCATAGTTTGTGAGTTTATCATGTTAGATAGTTCGCTCCTTTTTCTTTTAATCTTTTTTTCTAGTTGTGCGGCATCCATTGGTCGTCGTCACCCTGTGTTTGTTGAGTTATCCGCTACTAGCTTGCTAAAAACTCACCCCTTCTATGGTGAAGAGGTACCCTACAAGGAGGATCCAATTTACATCACTGTGGCTTTAATTGTGCTCAATGCCTACCCAGCCAAACCCGATATGGCGGCCCAGTTCCCGCAACATCTTATATCTTCACAGGCATGTTAACTACTTAACTAATTCTACTTAAATAATTTCAGTAGACATTCCATATGACCTTTTTTAGTAAAAATTGTACTATGTATTGCTCCAATTGAACGTGGGATGCTTAGCTATAGCTGAGAGTAAAAAGTTTTGGAGATGGTTCACGGCGTTTAAGATTGTCATTTTAATTTGATGCCACTAATAAAGATGGCATTTTGATACTCGACGTTTCAATCACCACTGTCCCCATTTGAGGTCTGTTGTACTTTGCACTTCTCTTCGAGCTCTTGCTTTCTTTTCATGTTTCAAAGCTTTTGTTCGAATTCCTTTGAGATGAGAATTCACGCTTTTAGAAATAGGAATTCATATTGGCAAACATTTAGCCGTTGCAATTCAGTCATACCTAAGTCTTCTTCGATCGATTTTATTTTCTGTGAGTTTCGTAGGTTTTCCTTCTGACACCTACTTGGTAACAGATAATTTGGTAGAAGATTTAGATTTAGACGAAGTCTTCTTTGAATCTTGGCCCCAGCAATCTGCTGAGTTATCTTTTCTTATGACTTTGGACGGGTGTATACCGAAGATTAGCCTTTTAACAGTGTTAAGGGGGGCCCTAAGAGGGAGTTGTAAAAGGACCTTCTCCTTAATAATATTAAATTTTTATTTACCTAGATCTATCTGCGTGAAATGATGCCGCATCTGTTACCTAAGGAGATGCTGCCTTTGCCTTGCATGGGAAAATTATCTACTGACTCGTATCCTCCAGTAAAGGTAGGTTCGTCATGTTTAAGTGCTTGATATCACTCTATGTCTACTGTACTAATGTTGAATTTTGTTTGTTTTCAAAGAAAGCACGTGTTGAAGATGGAGAAACTGCGGATGCCCAATTTTTACGATTCCTAACCTCCACAGTCGAGATGCTGCATCGTTTGACAATGGAATGTGCTGAATCTCTTCCTGCTCCTAGAATAATATCCCAGAAACTGGCGAAAATTGAATATATGGAAGTCGAGTAAGTTGCTACTACCCTTTAAAAGCGACATGAAGTTCCTCTAAATAATACAAAAGAAGTTTAGAGTTCATCTGGCAATGAGTAAGACGATTTGAACTGATTTTGTAACAGGGCAAACAGTGTCGGTAGAAGTCGTGGGCAAAGTGATTGATAAGAAAAAGTTGATAAGATCGGAGTGGGGACTTTAATTTGATGTGGCTCTACTGCCCGGTCCCATGAACTCTCTATACGACTGAATTATCAAGGCAATTACTTTACTGTTAATCTAATGGATGGATTACTTCATATTTCAAATGTTATAAGACGCAGGGTTGATCTCTTTTAAGCACTTTGAGCGGACTCTGCTATGGTAGCTCAGGTCAACCCGCTACTGCCTATGCTGGCTCCCCTGCAAAATTCACAAACTGCACTTGAACCTTATGCGCCTACTTCCTGGGATTGCGAATAGAGTTAAAGCAGTCTCTACAGCTTGGTCCATTCCGAATTCATGCCTTCTGTAACTATCTGACGAATCTACGATATTTTGTAAAATGCGGATGAATGCAAGCGTCTTTCTTTGAAATCGATATCCGATGAAACGGTCAACTTTAGAAGCTTTCTAATAACTGATGAGGAGAACCTCAAAGGTGCAATCTATGGAGACGCCAAAGCTGCTTGTATTCAATATAAATAATTGATTTCAGGTCTGAAATCTCAGAAATTTACAACTTACTTCTCTTTTTTTTTAAATAAATAAAGCACTTTCGGCTTGGCCTTCCTATTTATCTTCAATTGAGTGAATGCATAAATGTCACCAGGAATGCTCGATTGAGTAAGATCAACATTGTTAAAATTACGAAATTATCGAGTAAAACCATGTTTAAGTACTTTTGAAGAAACAGATCTAACCCGCATTGTTTACAAGCACGAATCTCCTTTGGGATGTCTCTTTATTAGAGAATGCGTAGCGTATTGAATTTGCTTAAAGGGTATCTAAAATATCCCAGAAAGAGCATTTGTTTTCTAGGTCAAATTTCGGTATATTATGGGGCATAGCTCTACCGGGGGGGGGGGGGGAATTACACACTCCATGTAAGGGGGAGTCAGGCCAACGGCTTACAATGTCCAGAATCTAAACCATGGAATGGAAAGCAAGTTTAAGTAAGAACAATTTGAGGTGGTTATATATCTCTCGTGTCACACTCTTTTCTTCCCTCTTCTCTAGTGAGAATAGCGGTGCAGATTTGCATAGTCGGAATTGCGTGAATCGCCTCAAAAGTATAATCAACGAAGAGTTGAGAATCTGCCAGCGAACATCGGAAGACAATGCCTGCTTGGGACATCTGCCTCACTTTCTTTCCTGCCTTCTCAAAGCTGTGCTTTCTCTTCTCTCGGCCTCTCTACCTGATGATAAAATGGACTCCCTCTGTGCCGCAGATGCTGTTGTGGCAACGCCTGATCAACAAGCTATTCAGGTTCAGCAAGCACTTCGTTTAACAATTAAGGTAAGGAGAACATTAAATTTTGTGTTCGCTTGTTAGGTCTTATGAGTTTGCTCTCGAGAACTTAACTCTCCCACATCACAAGTTGGTTGGAAGGCAGAATTGGTTTAGATGAACCAGAAGTCATGAGGAGTTAAAATCAGGGCAAATCGGAGGTAGTTGATAGTTGCGTCTACAAATTGAGCCACTAAGTGAGAAGGCATGGATAAGATAAGCACCCAGACGAATGTAATGTCTTGGTTTGCATAGAGCACCGCCCTGCATGTAGAATTATATTATAATTCTAGGATTCCAAAGTTTAAATTCTATGATTTCATTCCATATGCAAAGTAGGCGACCATATTGGATGCTTAAACACCTAAGTGGATTATTTTTAAGGAGAATGTTTTAGAAGCTAGGTACCGAATTTTGCTCTTAATTTTTCTTCAGGCTATATCTTCTATCTATTATCAATTTTCATAACGCTACCAGACTGGAGAAAGAAGACTAAACCTTTGTCTTGAATTCGTCGGGTTGAAATTTGCTTTGTGCACTGTTACTTTTTTGATAGCATGTTTCGTAAGCCATTTCAGTTGCAAAATTCGAACCTATAGTCGTAGATTGTTTCAGCATAAGTAAACTATATCACTTAGCTTCGATGTACCCCTATCTTGAGTATGAAGTGGATGAAGATCGAACGTTTGGCTGTTAGAGGCAAAGATTTCTCTATGACACGTCTTGGTCCCTAAGAATTTGAACATTGGAAATGCTTGAAGGCAGTTGGCTCGATTTGAGCCTAGCAATTAGACTCATTTTGCATTGACGTAGAAAAAGAACAGATTAATTAGGTGCAATAGCGGTTTCAACGATTGTTCAAATCCCATTGTGTGAGAATGGTGGGGGGGGGGGTGAGAGGATGAGGATTAAATCGAAGGAAATTATTTTACTAGCCAGATCACGCTGGCTTTTTGTTGTGATTCATGATCAAATTGAACTAATTGCTCGAGTCAATAATTGGATGATCATCCTCACTGTGGAGGCATATGATTGGACAAAACAATGGATTTGTCGGTGAATAACTACTGCCCCGTTATATCGTGAGCTGTCATGGCTTTCGATGGATGGCCAGGTGTTTCTTCACCTTCTTGTCAGCTTTTTTATGAACTCTGTTTCGTCACTTTCCAGCATTGCTCTTTCATTGAATTTCCCCGATATAAATAAATACCTTTTATATCTACTCATTTGAAATAAATGAACAAAAATTTTTGGGAGAAATTTTATTGCATCCCTTTTCAGTACAACTGCTATCTTGATACCTACCAGTGAACTAAATTCAGGTCTTGAGTCTAATGTAATTTGTAGGCCGAGCACTTGTTTTTCGGATTGACCGCCAACGAAGTCAGCACAATCCACACTCTCCGTTCCGCAGCCCATCGTCTACAGATCTCCTCTTTCCACGACACGGAGGCTGTTCGGCGCGCAGTCAAAGAAGTTGTCGACGTTTTCTTAAGCACCGACGGCATTGTATCTGCCGCTGAACGCATTCGTAAGCCCCAGGCTCAACTTCTCTGCCCACCACCTATAAGTTCAGAGACGAATTCAACGACAATGTCGGAGAAGAAGTCAGAGGCCATTCCCGAAGTTCGATTTACAGCCTTTCTTTCTTCGGTGGCTGTTCCAATTCGGGCTGTCATCACAGGATTAACTCTGGAGCAAGCTATGTAATCATAATCACTAGTGTACTCCCAATTTTAAGGCTTTTTACGAATTATTGCTTCAGGGTATACATAACAAGTAACAAATTCACCCTAAGACAGTGTTTTAGACATTAAGAACCTTAACCCTAAAGTATTTAAATGCTCCTCCTTGTGTGCCTAAGTCGAAAGCCCGAACTTACCCAAGGTTAGAAGGTGAGGAAGTCACTGAATGCCTATATTTATTTATGTTCCTTAAATAGAAATATTCATTTGAAAGATTGAGATAGTTCAGGAGTTTTAATTGACGGCTTGTAAAATGGGGTGTGCAAGGGCGTACTTCGGGATCTACATTTAGGAAAAGGTCCAATTTCAAAGCCAGTGATAAAAGCCATGGCTATTTAATCAGTAACATATTGGGTCTCTACTGTCCTTTTATGTTTTTATTTCGCTCCAAGTTGGACGAACTTATCGTCTCAACGCCATCTCTGTTTACTTGCTCCCGTAGCGATCCATTTTCTTTTAATCTGGTTACTGAGGTAACATCACTTCATAAATAGGATCTAGTCATTATATTATCCTTAAACTTCCTCAATGAGCATTGCGCACATTCTTGTTTTTATTAAATTTTCATTGGCCTATTTTTTATGAAGTAGTCAATATCACTCATATTTATACGATTTCTGGAACTAATTGTGGTAGGAAGATGAAAGAACTCCTTGGTGTACGAATTCTGCATCAAGTGTTTAGTATATTTACAAATTTAACTAGTAAGTGTGTGTTTATTTGGATACTTAAATCTCTGCCTTTTTCTCTGTGAAATAATTGTCTGAAAGCGTCAAATTGAAGATTGGCTGTGTTGGGAACTCATATTGTACAGTTTTTTTGTATCAAATTTGATTAATTCGCTCTAAATTTTTTGCCAATTTTTAGCAATGCTAATAAATATATCTCTAACACTCTAGTGACCGAGTCAGGGTTGTGTACTACCGGCCAGATACTGGCAAACAACATAAGCTCCAACAAACTTTGTGGAAACCTCCTGCGAACTGTTGGTCACCTTTACTCCAATCCTCTTATTCTGAGGAGACTGATAAACGGTCTCTACCTCTGCCATCTTCCGAATGCAGATCCCTCGAACTACAGGTTAGTTAAATACAGTACTCAAATTTTGTAAGTAGCGCTGATTTTACTCAATCGCTCTTTTCTATTGAGACCAAGCTGGAGTTTGCTGCCTCTGGATGGACTGCTACGGCAACGATGGAAATTGGACTGGGACTCATTGTTCCTGTGGCAGCAGATGATAGTGGTGATGTTAACGAAAAGGCAGCGATAGCTCCTTTCTCTGGTGTTATTTCTCTACTCCCTCCAGGCGTGGTTGGAAAAGTTAAAATGCACCCTACGGATACGTCATATACTTGGTGAAGGAGTTGTATTTGTGGAATCTGAACACAAACGGCTATTGTAAATTGATTTTGTAATAAAATTTGTATCTTTTTTATGATATGTGTCTTTCCTTTCTAAGTTTTGTTATTAAGAGCATTAATAAAAATATGACTGTGAAGGTGTACACAGTGTTCGAATACTTTATCCCTTAGTCTTCCTTCACCGTAAGTGGTACTAAAATGTCCCAGTTTTCAGATTCAAAATAAAATGTTTAGTTACGCACAAACGTTACCAGCTCTGTGCAGAATAGGCTTTAATTTAGAATGATCAGTACGCGACACGGGTGATAACCAATACTAAAACCCCTCACAATGTTGCTAACTCCGTCACACCGAGATAACACTTAGTAGTTTAATGGAGAACAATGAAGAGGAGGCGGTAGTCTTGTGATGAGAACAGAAAATGACCATGTTTTAGGGGAGAATCACTAATGTGTTGGACAGTGGTGGAAAAGTAAAGAACTAATAATGGCCGAAAGTGGAGTATGGTTGGGCAGAAGTCGATGAGAAAAATATCGGAAAACTTAAATGTAAATGGGAAATGAAGTCACGGTGGAATAAATCAAGAAATGAAGGACTAATCAAACAGCTGAACCAGTTAGATCATCTATTTCTTCCTTTAATGATAAGATTTCGCAGATGAGTACTTCGGTCTAAAGGCTGGCGTAGAACATTTCTAAATTAGAACGAATTTAGTTTAATATAATTAATATAACTGGCGGATTGAGTATAAAACTTATTGGTGGTAACGTAGAACTTTCTATATCCAAAGGCGTCAAAAACAAATGTAAAACAAAAGATTTACAAAGAAATATGAGAATTAAGTTATGTTCAAACTAAAAGCAAATTAGACTACGGTTTCTTAAAATGAGAACACTAATTTATCTGCCTTCCCTAGCATATATTTTGGAAGTATTGTAAAACCACTCAAGGTCTATTGCGGTTTCCTGATCTTGTCTTATCTCACTGCAGCTGACTTTGGAGGTCATACTTGTCTCATACTCTTCAAAAGTACATTTTGGGACACTATGACTCACGCCTACGCAGATTGTTTACAAAGGTGCATTAAGGTCTGTAGAAATCTCGTCTCCGGATAATGTCGCCACTACTCTAAGGTACTAGAATCATTCCTTCGTATTTGCACACTGTTCCAATTTAACCCTTAAGATCCAGTCTCTTCAGTTACTTCAATCCATTATACTCCACCAGCAATAGCCGCATCCACTTTATACACACTCGCTCCCACCAGTTTGGTCTTGTCTCCTTCTTTTTGATCACCCCCCGAGTTGTTGTCGTGGTGAGGACTGGGAAACGACAGGAAATGTAGGCGGTTGAGTAGTTATGGGCACTTCAGATAATTTAACTACTATTTTGCCCATTGAGGACTCTCCAACACCCTCCACCCCCCCCCCTAACCTATTGTGCTTGCATACACCCTCTAACACATCTCCAGTCTTTCCTCTGATTAGTTAAGTACACATCCAGTGGTCCCTTTATCTTATCAAGTGCGGTAGAAAATGGAGTGGAATAGATAACACTGTAGTTAATGGGTCAGATGTGATCAACCTTCCTTCTTCCCAAAAGATTTATTTATTTCAAATGGCAGGCGTTATGATAGGTATCATTAGCCCTTTAGTTGACTTCGGGCTTCACAGAGGGGAGGAGAAATATCAAAATGAGAAGAATTCGAGAGGAAGAACGGAAGTGATTCACAGATGTAAAAGAAACAGACAGACACAAAGGTAAAAAAAGGAGATGTGAGTACTGTGAAAGTAGTCGAAAATGAAATACAGTGGGGTCATGGTAGTTTGAAGTCCGAAGTCAACTGCCGATTTATAGACTTTTTTGCCGTATGAGTATACGTTGCCCAGGGTGCACCACATGGAGGTAAGTCTATCGCACACCCCTCTTCCCAAAAGATAACCTAGCTGATATGAGGCGTTGTAACAGGAATTATATCGCTTCAATGTTTTGACACTTACCGTCTTGGACTTAAAAGGTAAAACTTGTCATTCGCATTGGTATTAAACTGTTTAACCGGGCTACAAATCTACCACATGGTAGATTCACGAATCTCACCGTCATTTCACTTTAATACCACGTGAACCAATGGTACAAGACGGAATCCACGTGTTCTATTCAATTTTATTTTCATCACTCACTGAACGAGTCTTCTTCATTTGACTAATCACTGTGCTCGGTTTCAGACAATGAAATACATTCTCGACAGTTTAATAATCTGGATTTTTCTCCTCATTTTCACGATCAATTATGTTCTTCTCTGTGATCTCCAAAAGCAGTTATTCCTCTGGTTCTCCATTGAAATCTTGCCAAAAGTAATCAGTGGGGGTGTTCTAGCATTCTTAATAACTTTCAATTATAGAAAGAATAAAAGGGGGTGCAGATCCTTTTGAAGCACAAACAGCCAATCAAATCTCACTTCCATCTCCTGAATGTTCACTTGAGGATAGTGAGCTAACTGGCACACTAACTTTCTCAGATGACCTGGAAACTTTGGAATTCGAAAGCTTGTCAAGTAAGTATAATTGATAGCAATACCTTACTCCAGGTTGAATAGTACCGAGTTATTTGCTAACTCTGTTATATAATTGAACTAGTAATGATATGCGTTTTAAAACTACCGAATTTTTTGTTGGCATAAGAGCGATAACTATAAGTTATAAATAATGACATATTGTGAACCGACACGGTTTGCCTGGCTATAAAAGTTGATCGAAGATAATTTTCAAATTGTCGTCCTAATATGATAGGTCTCCCATAAATCATATTGTTTAGACCCACTGAAAGTATAGAGGATGGCTGTGAAGAGCACGGCTCAGTCGGAGACTGACCTCAGTAGCTATTGTATTTTAATTAGTATTGATGAGGTCAGGCATAGCGTTAACGATTACAACCTCCGTGAAAATCGATAGCCTCTAGACAAAGCATAAGAATTGTAGCTCTGAAAGGAGTCATGATTTGACAAAATTATTGCTCTTGTTCTATATATATATATATATATATATATATATATATATATATA